TAGCCCTACGTAGCTGCGTAGGCGCTCTTAGGTTTTTTTCAGGAATCGGCCGGCCGCTGCAGCGATCATGGCCCCCAGCCGCTGCGCGGCCCGGTGCCAGGTACTCCACGGCCCGGCACCGGTCCGCGGACCGGGGGTTGGGGATCACTGCTGTAAGACACCCAGAGTCATTTTATTACAAGATGGGTAGCAAATAAATGTAATAAGTAAGCAAACAAGCAAACAAACAAACGTCTCTTCTCAGGAAAGATCTCTCCCTCATGCCCTTCACTACCATGTGCATCAAGGAGAGCCTCCGCCTGCACCCTCCAGTCACAGCCATATCTCGGCGCTGCACTGAAGATGTGAACCTTCCTGATGGACGAGTTATCCCTAAAGGTACGTGCTATGGAAGGAGCCCCAGGCCGTCCTTCGTTAATTATCTGTATCTGGCATTGGATTCCCTTCTTCTCTCTATGACTGTTCCCTGCCTGCATTAGCAGTTGTTCCAGGCTACTATGCCATCCTACTTTGGGCTCCATGAGGATTAAACCTGTTATAAAGTAAACAAAGTGCAAAGTATATTGAATAAGAAAAAGGTCCCAGTTTGGAAAGTTGGGCACACACTGTATTGCAATGATGTTCCTTTTGCAGTATTTATCTGATACAAGCTGAATGAGACTGTTTTGCTTTCTCAAATGCTGCAATGGCCATTTCTAATCTAATAAATCTCTACTTAACAAGCAATTATATCACCCCAAAATAATTTTTAAAGCATTCAATTATTATGGGTCTTATAGCAATAGATGTTATGCTCCACATTTTGTTCAGGCCCCTCTGTCTCCTTCTTCTTGAAAATGTTTTTAAATGCTTGTACGCTGCATTTGCTAGGACAGAAGACAGGAGGGCTGTCCCTGTGGTTCTTTGAGCCCATCTCGCTCGATTTGCCTGGCTGGATGAAAGGGGCGTTGTGTTCATCCCAAGAGCAACTATTGTGGGGTGGGGGTGATGAAATGCCCCTGTTGGGAAGTGGAGGAACAATGAATGGCCACCATGGAAGAGGGAGCAATGGGCAGGGGTGGAAAAGGTGTGTGTGTGTGTGAGAGAGAGAGTAACAGCCAGGCAATACATGCTGGTCCTCTTTATGAGGCAACTCTAAGCTGGGAGCAGAGTCATCAACTGACGTTTTGTTGGTTTATTGATTATGTGCCATCACGTTATTCAAGGAAGATCTCAGATCTTCTGAAAATCTGGAGCACTAACAAAGTTATGAAACATGTTTGAACATAAAAACAAACCAGCCGGACGTTGCCCTGTTCTTTGCTCTATCTAGTAACAGCAGCACTTCATTGGCCAAGTTCTCTCATCTCCCTTTGCCCATTTCCTGCTTTTGTGAATCTCTCCACCTTTGGTGACATGCAGAGTTCATTCGATTCTTCTCTCTGCAGGGAATGTCTGCCTGATCAGTATCTTTGGGACCCACCACAATCCTGCCGTATGGCCAGACCCAGAGGTAGCATTTCCCCCACTTCCTTGCAGTTTGCTGGTCTGTGTAGAATTTTAGCCTGGGAGACTCCCTTCCCCTTGCGGGTGGCCTGCTCGGATGCTGGTTTGGAGGGAGGTGGGAATTAATCTGGTCAAGTATAGTTGTTTCTAAAGTTATATTCTGCTTTTTGTTCATTGAGGTATAAGAATAAGAAGGTATGTATGTATGTATGTACGTACGTATGTGTGTGTGTGTACGTATGTATGCATGTATATTTCTGAGGGAAATGGGCAGTTCAAAAATGTGAAAAACAAACAAAGTTTGAGAATTAATTAATACTCACACAATTTAAAAGCATAGATTAAATCTTGAAATATTAGTCAAAAATCACCTCTTCTGATGCGCATTTTTTCTACAGAAAACCTGGGCTCCTATATTTATGAGTATTATAGCACAATATATGATTTCCCATATATTACAGCAATCAATGGATCAGCCAGGAGCAAATACCTGTGCATACAACATATATCTTTTACACTAATTATATAACAAAATAGTGAGCATTACACTACATTAATGCACAATAATTAAAAAATTAGCTTCTTTCTCAATATGTATGTAAATTCATATTTTGTGCCCACTATTTTCACTAAGAAATGGAGTCTCGGGGAAAGGAGCAGCGTCTATTTTATATGACAAAATGTGAAATAGAGTTTGATGGTTTTTCCTTCAACAAAACAAAACGTAAATTATTGAACTGTAGCACCTTAAAAACTCTTTGTTCATGTGCACTGCGATTGTTTTATTGATGTTAATGTTTTTACATTTAATGCTAATTTTTTTAATGAGGGAGGATGGAAAAATTGTAATGTTATCTACTGCCTTATTCTTCTCCCTTGGAGTTCTGTAACTGAGGCCACCTCATTGATAAACTCTTATTCCTTAGTTGCAAACGTCTCTTTTCTTTTTCTCCTTCAACCCCCTTGGAGCCTGGGAGCGGGGGTGGGGCCTTCAGGGCCTGGGGTCAATTCTGCATTGCACGGTCTCTTTTGTCAGGTGTAAGATGATTACTGGCATCTAAGGTTTCCTTTGAGTGAGCCTGGCTCCCTCAAACCTACGACTTGTGCAGTTAGGCCCTCTTTTGCCTGTAAGGCCAGGCAGGGATCAATAAATGCATTTTTCCTACCTGTTTGAAATTGCAAAGAGCAGGTAATGTCAAGCATCTATTTGTCTTTAAATTGTGGCAGAAAGCAGACAACCTATATTCTACAGACGTATATCCATCTGTCCATAAAACAGTCTCTGCAAGTTTCCTGGGCGGAATGTTTTCAGAATTAGAACAAGACAAGAATCATCTCTAGTTCTATCATTTTCATAATCATCTCTAAGGAGTAGTCCTCAATGAAACCACTGTATTTTTCGGAGTATAATTATAATTCCTTATGTTCACATTCAACCCATTCAACCCATTCATCCGATCTATTTATCTTTCAAAGGTCTATAACCCACATCGCTTTGATTCAACACATCATCCACTAGCTTTTGTGCCCTTTTCTGCAGGACCCAGGTAAGAAAACATACAGCTAGAGACAAAATAATTGTTAAGAAAAAGAAGAGAAGGGTGCTAGAGGATATCCATGGGACATTTCTAATGGGGGCTCTTGGGGCAAGGAACATGAAACAAAACATGCTGAAAGTTTCAGCACAGCAGCCAGTTTAGTCGCTAATGGAAAAAAAAGCCTTAGAGATACTCAGAATCCTGGGGACTTCTGGTTGACGTCGCAGCGGGAATGGACTGGAAACTAGCAGGCTCTGTTGAGTCCCGTGAAAAGCCAGCTGGTAAACTGCTGCCGGGAGGCCTTCAGGTCATAGCCGCCTTGCGGTGAAGAAAGGAGAGGGGTTTCGCAGACCGCGAGGAATCAGCAATTTTCTTGCTAGGTCAGAAATAGTTCTCCCGATTGGCAGCGGGGGGGGGGTCTATGGCCTCCTTGAAGCTGGGACAACCAGGCCTAAGAATTGAATTGGAGCGGTTTTTGGACAGAATGCTGGACTGGTGAGATAATTACCAACTCACATTTAAAGGGAAAAATCTTGCAAGTGGAGTTTCAACATTCCTGAGCTTGGATCAGCAGCTATTTGGCCCTTGGAAAAAATAAAACAAATTGAGGCTATAATACAAAAGCCCAAGAATAATCTTTATATTTGGAAAATTGGGGAAAGCTTAGACATTCTAAAAAAATGATTTTCGGGAGAAAGTAACATTTTTATGTGTATTTTAAACTCCCTGGATACTTTGACAGACAGCTGGTTTTTATAGACTATTTTGTATGAAACAGAAACTGAGAGTGCCATCTACTGGAGGAAAAAAGGAGTACAATATTTTAAGCCTAGTAGGCTTGATGAGTTTAATGCATAAGATCTGACTATAAAAAAACAGGAGAAGTAGCAGCTGGAAGACCTGACTTGGCCACACAGAAGAAGAAGATAATTTTGACACTGAGAACATTTAAGGAGTGCTTGTGTTTTCTATTTGGTTTTTTTTCCCCTTCTCTCTTTTTGGAAGACAACAAACTTTTAATTTGGATTTAATTCAATTTGGATTTGACTATTTTTGAAATTGGCTTACTACTAACTCAGTGGAACATTTTATTTTTGAAGAGAAGAGGAATAACTGAAGAAAAGAAAAGCAAGGAAATTAAATAGACTTTAAATTTTGGTAAATTGTGAAAAGAGATAATTGGGGAGGTTTTAAAAACTTTAAATTGCTATAAAATGGAGCCTCGGATGTATAAAGATTTATTCTTGTTGCTAAAAATGTGTGTAAATCTCTAATAAGCAATAAAGAGACAGGAAGTTTGTTTAAACATACAGGAAAAAATAGAAGATAAATTTGAAAAGGGGAATTCAAATGAGATACAAAAGTTTAAGACTATAGAGGAGAAAGAATTAAAAATAAGAATCAATTAGACAATATCACAGAAATTTATGGTAATGTAGTAAGAGTAGAGAAGAAAGGGGAAAGGCCCTTCCAAAAAGTTAAAAGGCAAAAAGGGAAACATTTTGAAGAGACAAGAGGAAGACCTATGTGAGGGGTGCTCAAACAATACAACAAAAAGAAATAAAAGGGATATAGAAGAGAAAGTATAATACAGATTTTTAAAAAAGAGAGAAATAAGACATTAAGAGAGCGGGATGAAAGGCAGATCAAAAAATTCATTAAAGAATGGGATACTAAAAAGATCAAGAGATGATGGATAAGAAGAAAAATGTTAATAGAAGTGAGAGATAATAATAATAAGGTAAATATTCGTAAATATATATAATAAGGTAGACTAGAAGATGGGTATGGAAAGTAGATAATTTAATATTAATTAATTCAAATTAGATTGGAAATTTAAAATGCTATTATAATTGTAAAAGAGAAGAATTATAGGGCACATTGTGATATTACTTGTGTGTAAAAATTAAATAAGAAATGATAAATAATTATGTGAGAATAATGCTATTGAAATTGGAATACAAAGCTATGTTGAAAAATGATCATTTTGTAAAGATGACTACAACATATATAATAAGGTAGATCAGTAGATGGGAATGTGAAAGTAGGTAACAGTGATAATATTAATTTTGATAGTAATTTAAATTAGGTTGGGAATTTAAAATGTTAATGATTGGGAACGGGGAATTTGAGGGATCCTTCCGGAAATGAAGCAATATGGTAAACAACTGGTGTAATTGTAAGAGAGGAGAAACAGACGGTGTATAGCGATGTTATTTAAGTGTAAAAATAGAACAAGAAATGATAAAGAATTATATAAAGAGAATATTACGGCTGAAGTTAGAATAACAAAGTTATGGTGAAAAATGATTAATTTGTAAAAATGAATTAATAACACTTAGTTGAAGACATAAATAAAAGATGTATAGCAATGATATTTAAACTTAAATGTAATTATGGAAGAAGGTAAAGGATTATATCAAAGAGATGAATATTGATAAAGTGAGAAGATTAGAATATATTAAAATTATGATTATGAATATGATGTGACCCGGTCAACACTCTGACCATAAAGTATGTATGGTGGGAAAAAAGAAAAATTGCAATAAAACTTGTTTTTTCTTTAAAAAAAAGAAAAGACTTCATGAAGCTAGATTTAGGATTTTAGGATTTTTTAGAATTTTATTGGGTTTTTATGCCGCCCTATTCCCGAGGGACTCAGGACGGCTCACAATAAAAAGGGGAAGGGATACAATAAATAAATAAATAAATAAACAACAATTTAAAATTATACAACAGCCGTAACCTCGAATGGGGCTGGATGCCTCAACAGCCCCAGGCCTGCCGGAACAGCCAGGTCTTAACTGCTTTGCGGGAGGCCAGGAGGGTAGTGAGGGTCCGGATCTCCACGGGGAGATCGTTCCCGAGGGCCGGAGATTTGTCCGAGCTTCACAAAAAGAGAACTGTTGTAAAGAAAAGTTAGCCACCTGGCCACTGAACAGG